GTGTGCAAATGCTTAACTATTCTATAGTTTTCTTAACTTTTCTGCTTTAAGTTCGGTATTCGACAATTTTTCAAGAAATGTTCACACGCCTCCCGTTCTTAAACAGTAAAAATTTATAAATTCTGTTTCTTTTTAGATTCTAAATGTTAAAATCTTTTTATTCATGTCTAAACTACCTGTCTAGTGTATTTTTTGTTTGTTTCAATTACCTTAACTCATTAAATAGCCATGTTGTTGTTTACAATTTGGCATTTAAATTCCTTGCCATCTTTTTTGTGCCCCACACATGCGCAGACGTTTTTCTGCAGTGTTAGTATATGTAAATTAATCAAATCATTAAAATTCACATCAAATGTATTCCTATATATTGCATCTGTGATATAGTTTCACGTTTTGGACTTAACTCATACCATAAGAAATAAGCCCTGGGGAATATTAATGATAAGACATGGGGCAATAAGCCCTGTCATTTCTGAAAAAAGCTTGTAAATAAATTTTAAAAAATGACAAAAATGTATCTGTTTGCAAAGATGCCCTAAATGCCAATTTTAACATTTCCATATTGTTGGGAAGATAAAGAAAGTATGTTCCAACAGAATCAATGATGCCCAATACAAACAATTGAAGAACCGCTGCAGGATTGGTATTGATGCCCCAATGACTGAGTTTGATGAAGAAGTCAAGAAGCACGTCAAGTCAGTATGCGACAAGAACGTCGGGTGGGTCATCGATCAGGTGTCAAGAGGGGAACAATCGTTATGGTTGAGAAGGTCTGCCAAGATGGAGGATGCAACAGTCAATGGTCACATAGTCTTCGAGATTGGACTGACTCTGGCTCCGCCACTCATTACATTGTCAACTTATGGTCATGACGTACCACTCAATGTTTCAGAGCAGACAGACAATGTGACAGTTTCTCTTTTCACCATTGTGAAAATAGAAAGAGAAAAAAAAGAAAAAAGTGTCATTCATCTGGTTGACTGTACTTCCTTATGCCGGGCAACAAATTCTGAAAACCAATCTGGTTGCTTTTGTTGTTAATGTATCCGGCTCGAAAGTCTTGTCCATTTCATCATCTCATATGAGATACAAAACCAATTCACTTCCTTGTCAGAATTGTCTATATCCTACAAGTTATTCCGGAACAGAGAATACAAGGGGGAAATTAGTGATTGCTTGGACACACCAAATACGAAATGCAATGCGAGGTTCTTGGAATGAAGTGGTAAAGAGAAAAAGATGGAAATGTGAAATAAAGGAAAAGCAACACAGGAGAAATGAGTTGATCAAGTTTGTTGGTGAATGTATTTGAAGATGTAATGTACGTTAGTCTGAGATTCTGCAGCATGCATGTTTATATCAAGAATGTCAGTGTTTTTGTAAAAATGAATCAGCTAGTAGATTAGCCCAAATTGTGTGTCAAATTTCATGACACTTCTTTATTTCATGTTTAGCCAGATGCTGTCTAGTTTGATACAATGGAAGATAAAGTACAAAAAGATAAAGTACAAGATAAATTGTAAAGTACAAGATAATTGTAAAGTACAAGATAAATTGGATATTGTATTATTATATTTGTTATTGAAGTAATATCCGTTAGTTCAGGCGATTTGATGGATGCTTTTGTGCTGTGGTATGCAAATTTACCATGCATTCTTGCAAGCCTAATTCCAATGCTTCTACCTTATCACAAATCATCTTATTTTGATCTTTCAAGTCAATACGAATTTGTTCAACCGCTTGACTGTTTGTATGAAGTCCATTTGTAATTTTAGACTTGTTTATTACTATGTCTAACTTTACACCCTCGTGTTCTGTTGTAAGTTCACTGTAATTGCCTGGTAAACAAACTTGATTTTGAATAATGTTCTCACTTAATACCTGGTTTGAGTCCAACTGTACGCCAATAACACAGGTTGTATTCTTCAAATTACTACCAACTAGTCATTCTTTGTCTTCTAAGAATGACAATTCATCCTCTATGTCACCATGAAGCAGTTTCTCCTCTATGTCATCATGAAGCAGTTCCTTGTGTAGATCATTTCTACAGTTTGGATTGGAGCTGTCAACTAAATCCAAACAAACTTCAATGTCACTCAGCGGCAATACAATCATTCGCTGTTAGCTGTACGTCATATCTGTTGATACGATTTTGCAGATCATGCAGCTCTTCTCCCTCAAATGGATTGTCCTCTACAACTGGGGCTCGTGGATACATCCCTGTGCTCTGAAAGCACTTTTTGATGGTGCTGTTAGATATCTCGTCCCATGCTTGTCTCCCCCATTCAATAGACATGAGAACATTAATGGACTTTCTGATGTGTTTATCAATCCATCTACTCTGGAGCATATGTATCAGAGCAGTTGCTTTTTGTACTTTATCTTCCAGTATAAAGTAACAAATATACATTTTGTACTTTATCTTCCAGTATAAAGTAACAAATATAATAATACAATAGTATAATATTGTACTGGTACGCTATTATGTGAGAAACATATGTGTTTCTGCTGGGGTCTACACCGTAGGCTACTTAACTGGTTACTTTGAAGATTAATATAATTTCAAAATATTACAGTATATATGATACTGCACAGTGGCACAATTTTGACTCAATGGTTAACGGACTCGCGCCATATACTTTACTACAAATACGACCTTCATATCTTCGTTTCCATTCATCTTATGACGTCACACGGCATCAATATGGCGGCGGAAAAGTTCGCATGCGATAACCAACTTCAGAGGTTAAATTTGGCAACTTCTAAGCATCGCATGATGGTCAAATATACATGAAAATGCTTCTAAAAGACTGAATTTTTATTTAAGCTAAAAAAAATTAGGTCCAAAAATTTGCTGCAGTAGCAATTTAAACGTTTTAACTCGTTTGATTTTTCTGCCCCGAGATAGATTGGAGGATCTGTTTCTACTAAATTTAGCCTTTGATAAGATCCTATAATGATATATTCAGTTTTCTTAGTATTTAAACTGAGTTTGTTTACGGTCAGCCAGTCACCTACATTTTTTAGGTCATTATTTAGTGCGTTTGTAACAGTATTTATGTCATTGTCAGATGTATCAATTTGGGTATCATCAGCAAACATGTTACACTTAACACTATTTAAGTAATTAGGGAGGTCATTTATATACAGTAGGAATAACAGGGGACCAAGAATTGACCACCTGCGGTATTCCACTAATCATGCTTGACTGTTTGGAAATACCTCCATTTACCTGGCAATACTGTGAGCAATTCGATAAGTATGATGTAAACCATTTGTGGGCCGTTCCAGTTATACCATAACAGTTAAGTTTATTTAATAGTATTTGGTGATTAACTGTCGAATGCCTTCTTGAGATCAAGAAAGACGACTCCATTCAGCTCACCAATATCAATATTATGATATAGCCTGTCAGTGATTTCTAGTAAAGCAGTTACAGTGGAATGACCAGGTCTGAAACCATGTTGGGAGGTAGATAATAGGTTCTCATCTTGTAAATATAAATAGAGTTGGTTATGAGCAACCTTTTGCATAACTTTAGCAATAGTTGAGATCACAGATATTGGTCTATAATTATTCATGTCATGTTTGGGTCCATTTTTGTAAATTGGTGTGACT